TGTGGGTCTGGAGGTGGCGCTGCAGCTCGTCGGAGCGCGTGAAGCGCTTGCCGCAGAAGAGCCAGTTGCACACGAAGGGACGGTCGCCGCTGTGCCAGCGCAGGTGCGCCTTCAGGTGCGACGTCTTGGCGTAGGCTTTCCCGCAGCCCGGGATGTGGCAATTGTGCAAATGCTTCTTCTTGCCCCCGTCGGGCCCGCACGGAGCCCCCAGTCGCTCCGCCTCCAGGCAATTGGGGCAGCGGCACACGGTCTGGCCTGAGCTGCGGGGCACTGACCGCCGGGAGCCTTTGGGCCGGGCTGCTCCGTCCAGACTGGAATCCAGCCCCTGGGACTCCGGGGCGGCCGCTTCCAAGGCCTTGGCCCCGTCGGGAGGCCCCAGGAGGTGCTGCCCTCCGGCGGCTGGGAGGAGGTGGTGCGGGTGCGGGTGGGGAGGCGGTGCGCAAAGCTGGTGGTCTCCGACGTAGCCCCCCAAGCCAGCCTGAAGCGCCCCGGGGTGGCCAGGCGAGGTGAGCGCGCCCTGAGTGTGGGGGAGGTCCATCCAGCTGGTGCCCGGATGAAGGTCCCACCAGGAGCCATCCTCAGTGCCTGGGTGAGTTGGCCGGAACCACGAGTCGTAATGGTGGGACATGTCCGGCTGCAGGAGCTTGGAAAAGGGTCCCGGGGCCAAGGGACTGTCGCTTTCCAGGTCCTCGCAGGTTACCCGAGAGGAGGCCCCCGGCAGCTCATAGCCCTGTGAGAAGTCCACCTCAGGGCCCAGCGGGAGGCTCTGCAGCTCTCCAGGCTGCAGCGGGGAGGGGTAGTCCCCGGCCTCCGGGCTCGTGTGGCCCTGGTATGTTTGGAGAGGCTGCAGGTCGAGGCGCGGCGGGGAGGCGTGAGGCGCGTCCGTGTGCTGGCTGCCCAGAGAGCCGCAGACAGCGGTTAGCATTGCCGGGATCCGGGGTGGGGTGGGGAACAGGGATGGTCAGGGGCACCTCAGGTAGGACCTAAAGGAGGCAAAGAGGAGGTGAAGTGAGCAAAGTAACCAAGTCACTTTCAGTCCTAACCCAGACGGCCTCCCCGCAAAGTGCTCCTCTCCCGACTGGGACTGGCCGCTGCAAAAGAGGAGCACACCTCCCAGTGAGGACTAACGACCAGTTAACAGAATTTGGGAGTGCTAGGAAGGGTTGAGGGTGTGAGGTTCTCAGCCAAGGCGGGGGAGTCTACCTTCTCCTAGCTGATCCCTCCTATGGGGCCCAGCTCATCCTGACAGTTGGGCTGGTCCCAGGCTGGTAGGTCAGATACACCTACAGTTCCATGCTAAAACCATCCCCACCCTATCTGCCCAGACCAGCGCAAAGGGCAGTGTGGCGTTTACCTTCTGCAGCCCTGCTTCCAGCCCAAATGGAGGCTCTACACCCATCTTGGCTTCCCTAGTTTAACTCAGGACACAGATGAGGAGAGGGAGGTGGTCTGTTTCTGAAACTCAAAGCTTGAGGTGACCTGATTTTCCAAAGCTCAAAGCAGGTTCTGAGATATTGGGGAAAGAGACCTCGTTCCGTCCCTGAGGCATGTTCAATGAGGAAGAGCATTTCACTGTTCTCTACCATTGCCCTCCGCTCTCTGTCCAGATGGTTCCACCAAACCCACTTCCATTCCTGGCCCCCACCCCTCTCCCTCAGGCAGGAATTCACCTCCCTGGGGTGCAGGTTCAGTGTTGATTCCCAGGGGACTTCTCCCCACCAGAGAAAGTTAAGCTTCCTCTCCTGTCCTGACCCACACAGCCACACAGCTGGCTGTCTGGCTGTTACCCATGCCCTCCTCCAATCTGGGGGAGACCCAGATGTGAAGCTGGGAGGGGTCAGCTTCCCCAGAGAAGGGGGTCAACGAGAGAAGAGCTTACTAGCAAGCTCTGAAAGGTAAAATTGTCACCCCCTTACGGGATGCAGAGTCGAAGTGGGGACAGCGGGGGGCAACAAGGAAAGCCAGAATCACAGACACTGAGAAGAATTACCCCAAGAGACTATATAGGGGGGTGCATTCTAGGCTTCGATCGTTCTTAGGTGTTCTGCAGACAGTTCTAATATACAGACAAACTGAGAATCACTGCTTCAGGCCAACCCTCTTATAAAAAAAAAAAAAAA